TATTCAGTATACTCTACCACTTAATGATATTTTATATTGGTAACATTGTTTGAAGTTATATTCTTTTGTAAACTTCCTAAGGGCAGGAATTCTGCTTTTCTCCCTACTACTCTAAGAATAATGTGTCAGGCACACAAGCGGAGCTCAAGAAAGGGCCTACTGATAAGCAAAAGTCAAGTTCATGTCTTTGAACATTCCAAATATTTTTACTCAGTTATAAAGCTAACCGAGAGGATATAATTTGCCTACTGAGGCAAAGTTAAAGGGTTAGCAAAAAATCAGACATCAATAAATAGTTGCTAACTCATAACAGAGAAAGAACCAAGTGTCTATTAACAGGGGACTGATTGGATAAACTATGCCATATACCCTTAAAAGGGAACACTCTCAGGTGGTAACTAGAAATGAGGGCTACCTCTGCTATATATGGGATGGAGGGGATAGAATTGTGCAGATCTAACTTTGAATCTATGTAAATATTTTACATTCACACGGAACATAATTCAACCAAAATTTAAAAAGCAGTAACTAAAAGGCAAAAGCAAAACCTCTATATCAAATCGAGAGCCAAACTCCCCAAAAATGTACTAAATATTCGAAGTGTAAAAAAGGCAAAGAAATCTTACACCATTTTCAGTAATTACATTAGTATTGTTATCTTGAAACTATAAATCAATTAAGAAATTATGCTAACGTTGTTAGGAATCAAGATTTCCAGATGAGAAAAATATGAATATAAAGTCCAAGACGTTAAACAAAAAAATCCCGTAATTACAAATCTGCTTTAGAATAAATTTGAATTCACTGTGTATATTCTATTAGCAAAACAAAACATGTTGTAACTGTTCACTGAAAAGGTCTAAAAACAATAACCAACTCACTACTAAATGAGTATTCCTAGCACTGAGACTGTAGTCTCTAAACTCCATTTCCCTTCAAGGGAAGCAGCTCTCTGGAGTTGCCTGGGATCCTTAACCGTTGACGTCGTCTGCTCCTGACATGCAACCATCGACACTGTCACGGCTCCATGATCCAGGATCACCCAAAGCAGATGATCTTCCTTCTGACATGTGGTTAGAGGGTCAACGGTAGCCTCATGCTATGTCACAATTCACCTCACTTCATCCCATCAAGTAGGCATTTTATCATCTCACATCATCACAAGAATATTTTGAGAGACAGAGAGACTACATTCACATAATTTTCATTTCAGCACATTGCTATAATTGTTATATTTTATTATTAGTTATTGTTGTTAATCTCTTACCATGCCTCATTTATAAATTAAACTTTATCACAAGCATGTATATATAGGAAAGAGCATGGTATATATAGAGTCTTGTACTAGCTATGGTTTTAGGCATCCACCTGGGGTCTTGGAACACCTCCCCCACAGATAAGGAGAGACCACTGTTTGTGTCTCCTGATATGATACAACCAGAAGAACAAAGAACTATCAAACTGCATCGAATACTGAGAGGCCCCAAGAAATTACCAGTTTACACAGGGGATGGTGGAACATGTTAAACACCACCACAGGGATGCAATCAACTAAATCCAGAACGTGGAAAATTCTACAGGACCAATGACCCAGTTTCAAAAAAAAGAGTAGCAAAGGTAGGGAGGGAGAGGAGAAAGGCACTTATGGATAAAAGAGGGACTTAAAAGATACATCAATCATTATAAAATGAATACATTCATAGTAAAGAATGTGAAAAGATATACAAATCAATTTAAATTATGACATATCACAAAGAGTTAAACACTAGATATTTGGTGATAATAAGAAATACTTATTTTGTTTCAGTTTGATAGTGGTGTTATGTTAGGGAAAAAAAGAACCAATAAAGAGTCCTTGGAAAATAGCTCCCTTGCCGAGGCTCCTCAGTCGGGTGAAGAACTCCCCGGGGCCTGGGAGGAGGGTGGGAGGGGTGTGAGTGATGCAGGGATGGCCCGACCGCGCCACGCGTCAGTGGCTACATCTGTGAGGAACAGCGATGTGACGGGTAAGGGCTCTCTGCCCTCGCAGGGCTTCCCAAGGAAGACACCTGTACCTGGCGGGCCTGGGCACACACGAAGCAATGTCAGATCTTGTCCACCTGACTTACCTGCTGAGCCTGGGGCTGCTGCTGCTGGTAAAATGCACCCGCCGGCTGCTGGGCAGGTGGCGGTG